TTTGTGGAATACGGTTTCTTCCCCCACCATCTGTGCTTGGGCGCTCAGGTTGTTTCCAGATGTGGGTCATTGTGAGCAGGGCTGCGATGAACTTAGGAGTGAAAATGGGATTTTTTTTTATCGTTTTTTTGTTTGTTTGTTTGTTTGTTAGTTTGGGGGCCACACCTGATGATGCTCACGGGGTTACTCCTGGCTCTGTACTCAGGAGTCACTCCTGGCGGTCTTTGGGGGCCCTATGGGACACACTGGAGATCGAACCAGGGTTGGCCACGTGCACGTCCACGCCTTCCCCGCTGTACCTTGGTTCTGGCCCTCTGACTAGTATTTGTAGGGTCCGCGGGGTAGATGCCAGGAAGGGGTATCGCCAGCCGCCCCCTTTATTCCTGTGTCACGGTGCTGGCTCCCAGAGGCCTTTCTTCACGAGCCCCCCATCTCCATGCCCCCCTCCACCACTCTGCCTCACCCTTGTTCATGAGCTGGACCCCGGAGACGCACTGGGGCATGTGGGCGCATGGGGGGGGGTGCCCTGACTTGCCCTCAAATGGGCACAGTTTGGGTATATTTGTTGATATTGGGGTGAGGTGGGGAGGGGCCCTCCCTGACAGTGCTCAGGAGTTCTTCTTAGCTCTGTGCTCAGGGGTGACCCCTGGCAGTGCTGGAGGTGATGGGAAGCAAATACCTCTCCCCCCCCCCCCCCCCCCGACAGTCTGTGAGATCCATTTGCTCCTTGTTATGGGCTCCAAGGGCTTCCTAGGCCCGGGCTGGTGGTGGCGGGGGAGAGGCCCAGCACTGCCCGCCCGTTCGGAATGCCAAGTCCGCACTTGGTATGACCCCACAGCCGCAGAGGCCACCCCTCGGGGAAGGGGCCTGCATCCACGTCATATCCTCCCTCACACTGGATTTCGGGGGACCTGATGGACCCTGGGAGGCCAGCTGGGTCCCTCTCTGGCTCCCTGTCCAGCTGCTGAGTTTCCGTCCTCCCAGGAGGACCCACCTTGCCGCTCTTTCCTTCCAGAAACATTGGTCCCTGCGTGCCCCGCTGTGCTCGGAGGGTGGACGCGAGCGAGGTCCTTGCATCCCCCTCACCCCCCTCAGGCTCCCCTATGGTGAGGTCCCTGCCTTCAACTGGGACGTGCTTCATGGGGGCCTGGGAAGAGTGGGGGGTAGGGGCAGTTTATCCCAGCTGGTCAGGGCCACCCCAAGTTCCCCCCTGCCCTGTTCCTGTTGTGCTCCCCATCTCCTGTCAGGATCAAGTGGTCCCCGGGTGTGTCCTTACTGTGGTGTTCCCAGACCCCTCACAGTGGCCCAAAAGGGTTTCGGCAGAATCTGGAGGATGCAGAAGCCCCTAACCACTGATGCTCTCTGCAGATGCTTGCTGTTGGGGCCGCCCTCGTCAGGAGGAGCAGGGCTTTCCCTTCAGAGCTGATGGATTCTGGAACTTTCCAGCGGGTGTGTGCTCTGAGGGTCGAATACAGGATGCTTGTAGGGCCATCGGGACCCGCTCCTGCCCCCTGAAGCCTCTTCCTTCCTTGGGCAAACCCACGTCCCTGTGCCCTGCCTCCCCCGCCCCCGGCAGCCTGGAGACGACCCTCCTGAAATGCAAGTTAGGTCCGCGAGGGATTCTTATCCATCAAAGTCACTTCTCCAGACTTGTGGCGACATCAAGGAAGCCCCGGATTCTTCCTAAGCAGAGAAGACGGATTTCTGGTTCCTTAAAATAGAGTGCCGCTCCCGGCTGCTGGTGCCTTGACTGACTTGGCTATTTCCAGAGGTGGCGTTCTGGCGTTTGGTCTGTGCTAACGTTCAATTACCAGAGACACAAACGCAAAGAATGACTAGAAAGCTGCTCGAGCTGCCCGGGCATAGGGAAGGAGGACGGTGGAGGCGGCCGCCCTGTTTTATCTCTGTTTTGGGGGCCACGACGGACGGTGCTCAGGGGCTACTCCTGGCTCTGTTCTCAGGAGTCAGCCCTGTCGGTGGTTCGGGGACCGAGCTCAGGCCAGTCGCTTGCCAGGTGAGCTCCCCACGGGCTGTTCTGTCGATGCAGCCCCGGGACCACCCTGCTTGCTCAGACCTTGCCCTGGTCTCCCGGGCTCCCTGTGCAACCGTCCTGTGGCCAGAATTTCAATCCTGTGCATGATACCAGGCAAATGCCCCCCCCCCCCCAATCCAGAATGGGGTAGCCCCTGGGCTCGGAGAGACAGCAAGGGAGACACAAGCAGTGGGGGTTGTGAATTGTGCACAGGGCACCCCTGAGTATCCCTGGGGGGGTATCCTGGGGCATCCTGAAGGGGGGCTGGTGTCCCTCTCCTGAGCCAGGGCTCCCAGCACACTGGGCTCTCTGGGGCAGCCCGGGCTCCTTGTCTTCCTGGGGGAGCTGTCTGCAGGCCCTGCCTGCTGCCTCTACCCACTGCACACGGCCACGGACCCCCCTGAGAAGCACCTTTTGGGGCTCACTACCTGCCCCCTAAGCCCCTCCCACCTTCTCGGTCCTTCTGGATAGCTCCTGCATCCATTCTCACTGCACTCTTCATGTTGGTGCTTGGGGCCTGCCCCTAGCAGTGCTCAGGGATCACTCCTGGTTCTGTGCTCAAGATCACTCCCGGCTCCGTGCTTGGGGATCACTCCCAGCTCTATGCACAGGGATCACTCTGAGCTCTGTACACAGGAATCACTCCCAGCTCTGTGTTGAGGGCTCACTCCTGGCTCTGTGCTCAGGTCCCACTGCAAGGCAGTGCCTTCCCTCCTGTGCTGTGTCTCCAGGTCAGGTGGTTTTGTCTGAGCCTGTGTGGATGCTCCGTGGGGGGCAGCCCCTGATTTCCGTTGTTTTCTCTATTTATGGTCCCGTTTCCTCAGCTTTGGCCTCTGTTTTTCCTTTGTGATGGTGGTTCCTGCCATTTCCGCTGTCCGTCTGCATTCCTGCAGGGAGAAGAGAGTTCGTATAAATAGTCTGGGAAGACGGAATGTCAGGGGACCAGTCAAAAAACACCAAGGTCAGGGACCCGCAGCGACATGTCTCCCTGCTGGCAGTGACAGCACCCGCAGTGCCAGCTGCATCTCTGTCATGTGCGTGGCTTGCCAGGCCCTGCCCGGCGTCCCTCAGTGCCTCTCTCTAGCCTGGGCACCTGCACCCTCAGCTCAGCACGGGACCTGCTGCCTTCCACCCGACCAGTGTTGCTGGGACTCTGGAGCACTGATCCAGATATTCTGAGAGAGGAAACTTCTAGAATTCAGGGTTTCTGACTTAACAAAAGTAATTCAAAGTTATGAATACACAATCACTTGCAATACCTGGTATCTAGTTACAACTCAAAGTCCTGGATTTTGATAAGCATCAGAAGTGCCGAAATCAGTACACGGTCCCAGTGAATCTCTTGTTGCTTGTTCTGGTCTTGGGGGCCACATCTGTGGGTGCTCAGATGCCCCATGTGCTCACTGAGTGAGGGTGCCTTGAGGCTTTCGAGCAAGGCGCACCCCCGTAGCCAAGAACTCGCCAGAAACTCTTTTAGGAACCTGTGGGTGCCTGGCTGTGTCCATCGCGAGACTGGGACTCAGCATTTGTCGATCCCGGAGGCGGGAAGTTTGGATTGATGAACTGGGCGGGGGGCTTCTAAGAGGGGGGGGATTGGCAGGTGCAGAGGGGCGCACTCCTCTAGGCCGGGTCTGCTGCTGCCTGTGTTTCCGGCCTCTTATCATGTCGCTTGTAGCTGTGCAGATAAGCGCCACAGAAACCCTCAGACCAGCCGAGCGGCCAGTGTCACCTCTGACTCTCGGTGGGAAGGGCGGCCAGCCCTGCTCGCCACCCCCTGGGGGCTGATGCCAGGGTTGGGGCAGACTAAGGCAGGAAGGACTGGCATGATGGATGCCTCCAGCCATCCGAGGCTGAGGTCCTGGAGAGCGGGGCAGCTGGGCAGGAGCTTGTCCCGTGGCATGGGAGAAGTTGCCAGGGGCTGGGTTGGGGTGCCGAGAGCTGGCGCTGCCCACTCTTGTGCAGAGCCCTCTGGGCTGCTTGGCTGTTGAGCAGTTCCCACCCTCTCCCAACTACCCCAAACCTTGGCATGAAGAAAAGAGCCATTCTTGGGTGCCGCTAACCAGGCCAGCAACCCACCACGGTGCCCTTGGGGGCTGGAGGTGTAGCTGCCGCCTTGCTTTGAGGATGGGGGGTGCAGAGGGTCCCCACTGCCAAGGGGCCGCCCGGCCAGCCTGTGCTGCACTTGTGCTTAGTGCAGGTCTGCCCCGAGGACTTGGTACCCTGAGGTTCCTCACTTGTCCCCTGTGCCGGGCACCCAAGAGGACAGGATGGGCTATGTCAGGCCTCCCTTCTCCCCCCCCCCCCCTCTCTCCCTCTTCCTCCCCCTCCCACTCTTTCTCCCCCAGTCTCTCCCCCTCTCTCTCCCCCTCCCTCTGTCCCTCACCCTTTCACCACCACACCTGCCCCCTCCACCCGGACTCTGCACCTTCTGATGAGCGCACAGGGTGGGTGGTCCCTGGGAAACACAGGAGTTGCGGTGTCTGTGGGATTTGCCAGCACACGGTCACGACCCAGATCATTGTTCTGGTGTGGCCAATCAAAGGGACAGTGTTTGCTTGAGTGGAAGAAAGATATCTGGGCTTTGGGATTGGGGAGACCGGACAGGGGTCAGCGCTTGCGGATGTGCCCGGCTCTGCTTCCATCCTGGACACTGTTGGGTGGGCCCTCAAGGCCCCCGAGCATCCCCACGTCTTTAGCGGCAGCGGGGAAGCGCCGGACCCCAAGGCTGGGCAGCTCTGAGTCAGTCATAGGCGAGACGAAGATGGGCTCCGGCCCGACCGGAAGCTCCCCCGGCTGCCAGGTCCTCGGGAGCGCTATGCCTGGAACACTGTGCCCATCTCAGGCCGCGCTGGCAGCAGTGTCCATCCCGCCCCCTCTGTGTCCCGTGCAGGGCGGGTGGGCAGGGCTGGCGGGCAGCACGCACTGCAGAGCTTGCCCGACCTCTCAGCCTTCTCTTATGGCCCCGCAGGCGAAGCCCAAGCTGATCGAGCCGCTGGACTATGAGAATGTCATCGTGCAGAAGAAGACGCAGATCCTCAATGACTGCCTGCGGGAGATGCTGCTCTTCCCCTACGACGACTTCCAGGTGAGCCCTGCCCCCCGCCTGTGTGTGTATGTGTGTGTGTGTGTGTGTGTGTGTGTGTGTGCGTGTGCGCGTGCATGTGCAGGTGAGCCCCGCCTCTGTGTGTGTGTGTGTGTGTGTGTGTGTGTGTGTGTGTGTTAGGTGAGCCCCCGCGCCCTCTGTCCGGGTGCCTGGGTGTGTGTGTGTGGGGTTGGGGGTGCCTGACCCCCGGGCTTGGGGTGGGCTTCCAGCAGTGCTGACAGGTCAAGGGCTGAGTTAGTGATAATGCCCCACCCACCGAGTTATTTCTCTGGCACCGTTAGAAGAATTTGCATGGGTTAAGATTTATAAATGGCTGGCTTCCTCACGGGGACTTGGAAAAGTGAGAGGAGAGCCGCTAAGGGCAGGATGTCCAGGAGTCCTGGCCCTGCCTCTCTGCACCTCAGCCGCAGCACTTCCGGCCTGGGCCTCATCCTGAGGGACCTCAGGCCTCTCAAGACCTGTTTGAAGAGGAATCCAGGCCTTAGGCCGTGCGCGAATGTGTCCGAGGCCTGGGGGTGGGAGTCCCGTCATGCCTCCTTGTGGGGTGAGCCCCAGGAAATATACGCCGCAATGAGGGCTGTGTGTGGACTCGCAGTGGAGGGCTGGGGGGCCCGGGGTGCTCCTAGCACCCGGCGGATCCACCCTCCGGACTGCACCTCACAGCCTCTCAGAGGCGTCCTGCGGCTGAGTGTGTGCTGCAGCCTTGGGGCCCCTGAGGCAGGGAGACTCCCCACCCCCGCTCCTGGCGGCTTGGGGCCCCTGCTTTCCTGGAGGTCTCGGGCACTCCCCTCCCCTTCCCGGCACCTTGCTCCTGTGGCTCGAGTGTTCCTGTCCTGCCGCATGCTCCCTCACTGTCCCAGTGTCACCTCCTGTGGATTAGGCCTCTGAGGTGTCTTTGGTTTTGTTTAAAAAACAGCTTTGTTAATCCACTCTTGTTTTGTTTTTAAAAACACTCCATTGCTGTACCGTGAAACAACGGGCGCTTAGGAACTGTTGCACGAGAGGATGCCCCATCTAATTCTGTCTAACTCGATCCTTCAGACAGAGACCAGGACGAGCCAGAAAGCTCCCCGTTGGGAAGCGTGATTAGGTTATGGCCCGTGAAGGCCTCTTTGCCCACCAGGCTTCAGAGTTTACAACAAAGACAAATCTTTTCACAGTTACTCACTTTTTTGGTTTTTTTTTTTTGGGGGGGGGTCATACCCAGCAGTGCTTAGGACTTCCTCCTGGCTCTGCACTCAGGGATCACTCGTGGTGGAGCTCAGAGGACCAGAGGGGACGCTGGGGATCGAACCCAGGTCGGCCATGTGCAAGGCAAACGCCCTCCCCACTGTACTATGGCTCTGGTCCCCAAGTGTTCACTTTCTGTACTTTGTTAGAGAAACGTGGGGAAAGTGCTTCTTCTCTGATGGTTCTCTGACGAGCACGGTAAGCCTGTGGGCATAGCACTCTGCCATCAGAGCTGGCCCCCTGCTCCCTGGCTCCAGGTGTGCTCTGGAAACATCAGTGCTAGAATCATTCTTTTTATTGTTTTGTTTCGGGTTTTTGGGTCACACCCGGCTCTGCACTCAGGAGTCACTCCTGGAGGAGTTCAGAGGACCATACGGGATGCTGGGGATTGAACCCAGGTCAGGCACAAATGCAAAGGCAAACACCCTCCCCGCCGTCCTATCGCTCTGCCCCGGAGAATCATTCTTAGAGGACGCGTGGCTGGAGCCTCCTGGTGTGGCCTTTGTGAGTTTTGTCTTTCTTCACACAGGAGTTAAACTAGACGGCTATAAATCCCACTGGCGCTGACATATCTTTCCTGTTGTAAGCTCCTTGGAAGCTGAAGGTTATCACAAGTTGCCCCGAGCACGAAGGATGTGCTCTCCTCGTGTTAATTGTAGGAACTGCATTATTTAGAGCTTTACAGCCTGGAATGCAAGGTTGTAGTTGCAGCTGTGCTTGGTACCTTCTCTGCTAACGGCTCTCCTGTGCTATGTCTCTGGGTGATGCTTTATGTGTTCCCAGGGGTCACGTGTGCCTTGTATCTATCTGGGCTTGACATGTACTTTACTGAGGTCTGCACCCGTATAAAGTGAGTGACTGAAAAAAAGATAACAAGATAGTGACCGGTATCCATAGTAACAGAAAATCAAAAGAACTGGAAAAGGCAACATATGGGCCTGAGAGGTAGTACAGCAGGGAGGGCGCTTGCCTCGTACCTCGCTGACCTAGGTTTGATCCCGGGTACCACCTATGGTCCCCTGGCACCACCAGGAGTGAGTGCAGAGCCAGGAATAAGCCCTGAGCACCCCCAGTGTGTGGCCCAGAAAAAAAAACAGACAAAGGCAACATATGCATGTATTTATATTTCACAAATGTTAGTGGTCTGGTACCAGGGACCAGGGGTCAGCGTTTATGTGCAGGAGAGAAGTGGGGCATTGGGTGTACCCCCACAGAACGGGGTCTCCGGGTCTGCTACTCCCCGAGGCAGGATGAAGGAGTTTCTCCCGGCCTGCTGTGCTGGAGGATCCTGGGACCAACGGGCAGCGTCAGGTTAGAGAAGTTTTACGGATGCAGAGATACAGCAGAGATGGTGAAGAGCCAGAATCTTAGAAATTTTGACTGAGGGGCATGTTTACTGGGGAGAGCCCTCGGGGGTTCTCAGCATTGTGTGGAGAAGCGTGGCTCCCCATTTCCCCCTCAAACAACATCCTGATGATGAGTTTTTCCTGTTTCTTTTCCTCCTGTACTCACCCCAGGGACCGATAGTGACCCGGGAGCCCCCAACCTTAGCGGAAGCCCTGCCCGGCCTGACAAAGGGCCCCCCGAGTGCCCTGAGCTCATTTCCCATCTGTCCTTTTGAAAAGGGAAAAAAAAAAGCTTTTCCTCATGTTTTGTCCTGAATTTTTATTGTATGCTGCCAAAAATATAGTGTAAAACTGGGGCTTTTTATTGAAAAGCATTCTTGGGAGAGATTCCTCGAAGTGTTTTAATGCCAGAATTTAGCCACGTACTGTTTCTGTGAACATGGAGGTTTCTGCGACACTGGTTCATGTCTAGGATCAAACAGGCCCCAAACAATCTGGATAAACTATTTCTGAGTTGGTAGCGGTTAGGCTTTAGAGATGAGAGCTGTTAATTCCAGTTCACCTAATGCCGTTTGCAGAAAGTGGTGGCATACCATCATTTTTAAATTATTATTATTATCATCATCATCATCTATATATATATATATTTTTTGCTTTTTGGGTCACATCCAGCGATGCACAGGGGTTACTCCTGGCTCTGCACTCAGGAATTACTCCTGGTGGTGCTCGGGGGACCATATGGGATGCTGGGGATTGAACCCGGGTCAGTCGCATGCAAGGCAAACACCCTCCCCTCCCCTCTGTGCTATCGCTCCAGCCCCACATCACCATGTTTCTTAAGAAGAAACCTTGAGCCTGAGGGATAGCATCAGGGTCAGGGTACTTGGCTCACAGGTCGCCAGCCCCTGCTTGATTTCTGGCCCCACCCTCCACCCCCAACACTGCCAGGAGTGATCCCTGGCTGAGCACAGAGCCAGGAGCAAGCCCTGAGCACAGCCAGGCATGGCCCCCAAACAAACATGGAAGCAGCCGAGATGCAGAGCCTGGAGAGCTGAGCCAAAGAGGGCTGCGTTTCACTTGTCCTGGGTGACGTGCCCCAGGCTTCTGCCTCACGAGATGGTGTGAGGGCTGTGAATGGTGTCAGGGGCTCTGCCTTGGAAGATACTAGCTCTCAAGTTGGTGGCCAGTGACTGGTGTGTCCGGGCATCACTAAGAGTCCAAGGGACCTTGTTCTCAACGAGCTCTGGGTGGGACAGAGAAGGCGCCCAAGGCTGGTGGAAATGCGGACAGCGTCCAACTGAGAGCAGCGAGCGGAGCGAGGACTGTGGAGGGCCCGGGGCTGCCCACAGGAGTGGCCCACGGGGGCCCGGGAGGCCAGGAGCACGAGAGAGAGAGCCTCTTGGGTCCGAGGCTTGCATGTGGCCAGATGTGGGCAGCAGAGATGGGGTGACAGTGGGGCTGGAAGGTGGAAGGGGAAAGGGAGGGGGGCCGGGGAGAGTGGGAAGAAGTGAGGCGTGTGTGTGTGTGTGTGAGTGTGTGTGAGTGTATATGTGAGAGTATGAAAGTGTGTGTGACAGTGTGTGTGAGAGTGTGAGTATGTGTGTGAATGTGTGTGAGTGTGTGAGTTATCTGTGTTAGAGTGTGTGTGAGAGTGTGAGTGTGAGTGTGAGAGTGTGTATCTGTGAGTATGTGAATGTGGGAGTGTGAGAGTGTGTATGTGTGTAAATGTGTGTGAGTGGATGAGTGTTATGTGTGTTAGAGTGTGTCAGTGTGTGTGAGAGTGTGTGTGAATGTGTGTGAGTGTGAATGTGGGAGTGTGAGGGTGTGTGTATGTGTGTGAATGTGTGTGTGAGTGTGCGAGTTATCTGTGTGTTAGAGTATAGCGCGAGTGTGTGAGAGTGTGTGAGTGTTTGCGAATGCGTGTGTGAGTGTGTGTGTGAGAGAGGGAGAGAGTGTGTGGTGGGGAGTTGTGGGGGTTGGTAGCCAGGGTGGTCTTTTCCCTCCAAGGAGAATCGGGGGCAGCAGACCTGGGGGACTTGGTGAGGATGGACTGAGGAAGAGTTGAGGTAGGATTCGCCTTATCAGTGACTGTTGGGTGACAAGGTTCTGGGGTGCAGGGATGGAGCTCTGCTGCCGGGGAGAGACTCGTGTCCCCCTGGAAGGAGAGGCTGACTGGGGAGCGGGTGCCGAGTGCCCTTGGGAGGAGGGGGACGTCCCAGTGGGCACCCACACTGCTGTCCCCATCCGGGCTCCGACCTTGCCCCTCCGCGGGGGTCTGTCCTTGCATGGTGACCAGTGACCCGAGGCCAGGGCCAGGTCAGAGCCCCTCACTGTGGCTGTCTGCCCACTGCCTCCTGGCCTCTCTCTTCCCCTCGCTCCTGCCCAGGCCCGTCTATCACTCTGGGC